CCGCAGCTTACTTGACATAGGGCTCGGCCTTGGTTCGTCGTAGGAAGTGGGCTTCAGGGCCTGTTCGAGCGGCACCCGCAATGCCACATCTATCATTCTCCAAATGTGTATGGAAGAAATTGGGGAAACTAGCGCGGCTGGACCTCCACCAAATACCAATGTTTTCCTCTCTCTTTCCAAAGGCTCTTCACTCCGATGGAAAAAGCGTGAAACATCGAATGGAGAGGAGGACAATCAAGGTTGATTGGAAAATATTTGCTTTGTTCGCGCATCGAGAGTAATGTGAAGCAGATCAGCTGCCCAAGTGTAGCTCTATTACCGACTTTGCCGTGAGAATTTGTCCCAAACAGACAATATCTTGGCTCGGTTGTGTTTCAGACACTGGCACTTCATGCCAGTCATCGTCATATCCAGTCGCTTGAGGGTAGAACACGAACCCAACTGCTTCGTTGTTCCTGATGCTGAGAAATGGCTGGCATCTACATAGCATGCCCTCTCGAGATCCTGGACTGTAGATCTAGTTCTGTCTCCACACCATCCCTGTAGCTTAAGAACATATGTAAAGAGTTGGCAGCGGTGATTTGAGTCTAGAGGAACGACAGTTTAGCCCAATAGAGACAGCATGATATCGTAATCGCCTGCAGATGGAAGTAAGAGAGGGAAAAATTCTTCATCGAGGTGGAGGCCTTGTGGCGGTCACAAGTTCACAACGTCCATCGAGGTGGAAACCCATCCTTGCTAGAAGTTATCTGGCTGCGGGAGGGACACGACGTGGCACTCTCAGAAGGGCTCGAAATCTAAGCCTTACTATAGGACGAGGACCTATGATGACTTGCAAGATCGCAACACTCAGCCCATCGGGCATAACAGGAATCAATCTCGTTATTGGCGATGATGATGATGGCCATATTCGACCTGAGTGGCCTGCGGGGCCAGTTCGATACTGTTACATCATGTAGACTCACACTAACAACAACGGTTTTTCGTGTAACGCCATCTCTAACATCGCCCAAGTTCCCCACTTCAGATTGGTGACTCCAAGTAAAAATGCAGGCCAATCTTCAACGGCGCGTTCATATTGATGGAGCTGATGTGGGCGCCATGGTGCTCGTGATTGATCAAGTGTCAACTAGCCATTTGAGTGTCCGGGGCTGCGCAACTTCGGAAAAGGATCGAATGCTTCAACAATCTATCTTGCCTGCCATGCAAAGAAAAGTCTTTCGTCCATCGCTTAGGCATTGTTGCTTCCATCCAATGCCCAAGTTGCCTGTTCAGCTTGCGCGCGTGCATGCATCCTCAGACTTCAAGCCATCATCTGGTGCCTGGACACAACAACGTGCATGAAGAACATCAAGCGGTCGCATGATGTGTGCTCAGCGACTCGTAAGTACCAAGGCGTAGCCCTTGAACCCAACGATGAATTGGTTCTTAGCTGCCCAGCATCGATATCAGTGTAAGTTGGCAACATGTATCAACCCCCAACATTGAGCCGGGTAGGTATGTATTTGGCCGTGTCGCACCTCTCTGGACAAGCCTCTTTTCTTGAACCTTCTTTACTGACCGCCAGTTCACCGTCATAATTCATCACTTCCCAGGATATTCCCGGCGGGCATTTGTTAGCGGAAGCTACGTGGAGCAAACGATGACCCGTGAAGAAAGACGGGATGGAGCGTCGTGAAAGAAAAAAAAAAAAGGTCTGTGGTTGACTCTGAGCAGGAAACTTTGTGGCTGGTAAAGCAACGATATAGACATCCAACAACCAGCCTCAAGTCTCCAGATGCAACTGCAGAATGGTTGGCCTGTAAATGAAGTGCTCCACCAATTGCATTGCCGAATGTTTCGGCTGGTCATATCAATAGCTCGGGCCGGGCCTCGATTTGTATATCGGTCTACTAGCAGCATTTGAACAAACGTCAGTACAACCAGAGGAATCCTGGACAAAGGGCTCAGTCGTGCGAGAGACCAAATGCTCAGGTGGCGTGTGTGTACCAACACTCATCCGTGTATGTATTGAAAGCGCTTGTGTCTGGTGCGGGAGCAACGCACAGACAGTCGTTAGGCTCGTGCTTGAAGCTTGAGCTATTATCCAACTGAGGCAAAGCTTGAGTCGGTGGTGAAAGAAGGTGTGGTCGAATTGTGCTGGGCTGAGCTGCCAGTCATGACTTGGTGTTAGTTCGACTTGCAAGGGGTTTGGCAGATGTCAACTCACTCTGGAATCTGGGTCTGGTTCTTTTCTAACCGCAATGGTCTTCGCGTCATCTCTTCGAGAGCAGAAGAGGTTTGTGGATGATGCCCTGAAAGGATCACCGCTGAAACATGCATTGGGCAAGTTTGGCCACTTGTAAGATTCAGGCTTTTTTTTAATGAAAGGTATGAAACGAAAGGATGAAGTCCTCTTGTTGGATGGACGACCTCCATGTCGATATAAAGAGCCGCCGGCTAGTGCCTTCCCGTCCTGTAACAAGGAAGGTACAAACGCGGTCAGAAGAAATGGAAAGGACCAATATCGGAAACCTCTATGGTCAGAGGCCTGCCCAGGAAAGCAGAAAAACTTCTGTTAGGAACGGAACACCGAGGATAGAATCCAGTGCTAACTCAATATGGCAGTTAATATGTGATGTCTGCAATTCGTTGTTCATATTCCAATACATACATATTCCAACAACAGTTGGAATCCATTCGTTATGAAATTAGGTAGTACGGAAGTACAGGGAGCCGAGCGCAGCCGCAAACATGATGAGCTTCCATTGGCACCATCTCCACTGCACTTTAATTAGCACAAGCGCAGGCCTCTTCTCAAACAGTTCAGACTCGATCCTAGCATTCAGCTCCCGACGGACGATCATACCCCATCGACCACTGCGCGCTGACGCTGAAGCTGGCGCTGGCTGGTTGGCTGTTAGCGCCTAGGCCTGCCTGGTTGAGCGTGCTGAGCTGGGCAGGCTGTGATACATGGGTGAGGCTGGCATCTTGCGGTAAGTTTCTGGTACCACAATGTCCAGCGCCCATCGAGGTTCGCCGATTACTTAACGCCTACTTCGTCATAAATCAATATTGTGAATCCATCAACTCTAGGAGGTTTGATGGAGGATATGTTGAAGCGGCCACACTTCAATAAGCAAATCGTCACTTAATTTTGATACCCAACCATAGTTCGCCCAAGAGACACAACCATACAGTCTTCGCAAACAAGCACAGAAAAGTCGAACCTCGTTCTATCCTCGGTGGTGCTTCGAGTATAGTTTGTTCAAATCTGAACACTCACGTTCCAGTCTACCTATCGTAAGCTTCGACTCAAGTATTGCCCAACCTCTACAGCGAACTTGGGCCAAGCCTAATCAAGCCTTACGGGGGCTACCCTGGCATGATGACTGCCACAAAATGCCGCGATGTGATTGACTGAGCTAACTGTCTCAAACTAGGTGGTTCCTGCGAACCCTTGGCTGCCAGTGGACATACCGGTTGAGGCGTCAATTCAATGGTCTCTGTGGTGTCTCGACTCACATGTGTGCATGGGCTACCATATTGAGCTATGTCGCTGCCATCTTGTTTGACTTTCGGGAGCCCGATATGCGAGAGGACGGGGTTTATGCCGCAACGACTGAATTCAAGACATCCATGCCCAAGATTCAAATTCCAAGACTTGGGCCTCCCTTCACATGCGAGCTTACAACATCAGAGACTTGGACATAAGACATACCCAAACGGGTGGCTTAAAACACAGAGGGCCTCATGTTCTTTAAGGGAACTAAATTTCTGTAGGCGGGTCAGTCTGGCGTATAGTTTTGAATCACTCTGACCGAGACGATGGATCTCTTGGCATCCGTAGTTCGTACCGATGACATTTTATGCAAAGCTTCGTGGCATTTCTTGACATTGAGTGCTAGACATCTGGTATTGGAAGTGCATGCATCTGGCACACCCTAATTAGAGATTTTTTTTTTTTTTTAGTTCTGCGGACATGGAAGACAACATTTGTATGAGACGTATACATGATTATGATGTTGCTGCTGCTCCGATTTTGTTCTTTCCACTGTGGCCACGTGCTATAGTATATCAAGTTGACAGCCACCTTAGAATGAATGAAGGCACTGATACCAATGGTGGACTATGTGCCATTGCTTTCTTTCAATCTATTTTTGCCCCCAAATTTATCAACTGCACCATCTCATGAAAACAATTGAATGAAGGAACTCGATCTTTGTTATTCGAGCCCTTCAAAGTCCAAGTTAAATATTCAATACCCTTGTCAACTCAAAGACGAACAAAGAAAACCGGACCCGGCAACTCCCCCATGCGAAGATCGCAGCAACGTGGACCAGAGGGGAGTCCATGATGAGTTGGTGTAGAGCCAGGGGGGTGTGCAGCCGACGCACCTAGCCTCAAAGCTGGAGACGAAGATTAGACGCCAACACCCCTCTCAGCCAAGGCCAGGCAAGTCAGTCATGACAAAACAGGACCAGCCAGACAAGGCCGCGGCTGTGCAAGGCGATGAGAGACAAGAGCATTGCGGTGTGCGCCGTTATACAGCAGTTCATCCGCGCAGCAAAAGATGGTGTTGAGCTACAACCCCGGTCTCAACTATGACAGGTGCCAGATCGGTTTGGTCATTGCGGATGGTTGTCTCGACAGTGATGCTGAGGCCATAGTGGCATGGAATCGCATGGCATGGCAAACCATGTTATGGCTTCTGTAGTAACAGTGGGTTGGTCGGAAGACAACTTGATTAAGACGGAACTCAGGATAACCTCACTTTGCAGGTTCGTATTGGGCCAGCTCATTGAGCATGATGCGCTCTGCATTGTATTGACTCAACCTGTATTTTCTTTTTCTGCTTCATCCTTTCTCAGTGTCATTTTCATGTTCTCACACTAGGCCCTCCTCGCCTGGGTATCTCTAGGAAAAGATGGAGACATTGGAAGCACAGAACCAACACCCAGCGACTAACACCAACCGCATAGCCAGCAATGCGATGCTTCTCCAACGTTTATCCCCGGCCCGTTGATGTCCTCTGCCTTATTACCAAACGCATCGACTCCACTCACCTTACTTCTTCATCTTCGTCGATAGACACGCCTTTAGAGACCCCTGTCATTGCGATATTGCTGCCGACACCCCTCCCCATGCTCCTCGATGCCTGCTCCTAGACCATCCTGTTCGTTCAAGCTCGTGCTTCTTGATGGGTTTCTTCGTCACATAGGTACATTATAGGCCAGGCTTCCGGTTAAGACACACCATGTTCACCGTTTCGTGGAGATGTAATCAGACCCTGATTTCCTCACTGCATCTTCCTCTCCCCACACCGTTACGTTGTTACTGCGTCGCCTCTTTTCGACCCGACAAGTTCTTTTGGACCTTGAGTCTAATAATATTCTCCGGGCTCAACTTTCTTTTCTTTTTCGATTGTTCCAGAGTCCACTTCTTGGCCTTATTCAGCTTGGGTTCTCATCCACCTCCGGTTCTACTGTCTGGACCTCGGTCAAGACTAACAACAACAAGAATAGGAAGAGAAAGAAGCAAGGCGGTCCGTAACGTGGGTCCATATCCTGCGCATAAGTAACATCTCCTGGAGGTTATACTAAGTCAGTAGGGGCCCAGCGGAAGATCTGACCGAGTTTTCTCTTACTCAAAGTGAAAGACCCTCGAAGATCTTCTTTTTGCCTCCTACCTATTGCCATCTCATCTATTCTCTACTCTCCCCACGGCTTTCGATAACAGCTTCTGAGATAACAAGCCTTACCTTGGCCTCATTTACCTCGATTGGCGCCCCACGACTTGCTCTGCCTCACCATATCATCCTATTTGCATCCATTGGCTGAAGAGAACCCTGGACATCACCAATCACATTGCCATCTGCCCATCAACGCCTTGGAGCCACGCTTTATGATCTGAACAGCCATCACTGTTGCCTCCCGAGACAGTTCTTTCTCCTTTTGCATCTTTGTGGCAACCCGGTACCTGACAGAGCCCAACTGTATCGATACCTAACCCAGCTGCCCACCACTACGCATCAGTCAATACGAGAAGGCCTCCATTACTACACTTCAAGACTTATAGACACTAAGGGCGACATCAACACAAGTGAATTCATTCCCGGAGGTTTCAAGGAGAAAACTAATTACCTCACCTCGATCTCACGAACATAGTTCACGCACCTCCAGCCGACTCAACCATCTGTACAGTGGAAAGAAACATAGGGGTTTCGTGACACCCGATATACAACGCTTTTAAGCAGCACCAGGCTTCTCGGAGCCGCTGAAACAGACATTTCTTCGCCAACACAACCAGAAACAGTCGCCGAGCTGGCCCAACTCAAGAGCGAGTCTCCACTCTGCCTCTTGCGGGCAGAGTTACCGCCATCCATCGTGGGTGTAGAAGACCGTCTCGAGCGGGGGCGTACGCCTCGCTCATATGCTAACGGTCCATACGCGGGAAGACTGGATGGCCAGACTGTCGCGTTAGACTTTGCTGCTCTTCTGAAGGCATCTGGATCTCATGAGGCTCCTGTCTCGCCGCTTCACCAGACCCAGCCTGTTCCAGCTCCCACTTATCAGCCATTTCCTCCCAAGGCATCGCCAGCTCCACCACGGCCTGTTGCGCATGTGGCGCCACCACCGCAGGTAGCTTCGACACAGATGTCTGGAAGACGCGGCATGCACCCCCATGCTACAGATCAGCCACCCGTGAAGAAGCAGAGCAAGTGGTCACCGGAGGAAGATGCCCTTATCATCGAGCTTCGAGGACGCAATATGAAGTGGGAGGATATCTCAAAGCGTCTGCCTGGCCGGAGTGCCATCAGCTGCCGCCTACACTACCAGAACTACCTCGAAAGACGGAGTGAATGGGACGAAGAGCGCAAGAATAAACTGGCCAGACTTTACGAGAGGTAAGGGGGTGGTGTAAGCAATTAGTCTTTTAGGAAACATACTGACAAGACTTCAGGTTCAAACCAGAAATGTGGGCAAAAGTTGCAGAAGAGATGGCAGTGCCCTGGCGAGCAGCAGAGGCCATGCATTGGCAGCTTGGTGAGGCAGATATGGCTAGACGTGCAGGCGTTATCCCTTTCTCTCTAGCTGCAGTCAATGTCGAGGGAAACAACAGTCACAGGAGCTCCCCCTCACGCAGCCACATCCACTCGCAGCCCCAAGTCAGCATGCCTCGCGATCTTGGAGCACCATCGCCTCGAGTTGTGTACAACAGACCTCCACCAATGCCTGCCAGCAGCCGAACTATGGTTCCCCGCCGAGAGTCGATTCCTCCGCCGCCTCCTTTGTCCATGGTTCCAGATCCTGCTGAAGCTCAGTATGTACCAGGGCCAGGTTTGGCCCCGATCCAGAACCAGCCACCACCTCGGACAGCTGGTATGCTTCCTGGGGTTGCTGAACTTACTGGAGGAGTCAGCCCCTATAGTACACCTGCTGCAGTGCCTAACATGGGACCTATAACCGGGGTAGGTCAAGGCCCTCTGTATTCAACACTCGCCGGTTACTCGATGGAATCGGCCGGGTCCAAACGAAGAGCTTCCCCAGATGAATATCCGCACGAGGCGAACCAGCGGCGCCGGATTACATAGCCTGCCATGGTTGAGGCAACTGTACTATATGAGCGCTTGATGAGTGATCCTTGAGTCTTCCAGGACATTTGTCTTGCATCTCGTCTCATAAGGCGACAATTTTTGGGTTATTAAGTGCGGTAAAGAATGTACGACTTATTATGATGGTGTTGAGAACACGGGGTTGCATAACTACACGGACAGGAACAGAACAACATTTTTTAACTTATCGGCAATCTATTGCCTTCGGGTCTGATTGAAGCATACCCAGGAACACAATAGCATATGGGTTTTAACGACGGAACGGAATGGATTGGACAGGATGGAATGTGGACATGACTTAATGTAAAGAAAATCTTGTTGGGGAAACCATTGGTGTGTTTTTTCTTCTCATTTCGGTTCTTTGAATTGTCTTTTTTATTATGTTTATGTTTTTGTATCACAATTTGCATTGACCAGAGGCATCTGCATGGCAATGGATACTGGTTGTTTGAGGACCTAGCAATGGAAGCATCAGAAAGGGTGAGGTCAAGGATGACCTCAGGAAACCGGAGTTGAAAGAGAGACAGTGTTGTTTTGTTGCACAGCGTTTGCATTTTACCTGTTTAGTATCCCTTTTCCCATTGATAGACACATATGGAGATGTGATAGAGAAGATATCGGTGTAGATGGATTGTACAGTTAGCGTTATTACCTTAGTTGAGCAATATCTTGAATATATTACCAGCCTGAAGACGGCCAAGTACTCTTCCATGGTTGGACAAGAGCGAAACATGTAGCGTAAATATCGGTGAACGATTCCTGTCAAGGTTGGTAACCATATGCATAAGGTATCCGAAGCTTTTTTTCGTAACGCCTATAAGATCTTGCCTTGCGCCGCAAGTTACCGTTGATGAGGTCTCACGACGGTCGACTACATACCACCCACCAGTTATCCTTCTCATAGCCGGTCTCTACAACGATGCCCCCAGCCGCCTTGACATCCTCCTCGAGCTCACCCTCCTTGTACAGGTGGTAGTAGCGCTGGAACGTGCCTCCGGGTTCTTGACCCTTTGGCTTCCGCATCACCCACGACACCAGGCGATCCTGGTCACTGCTCGCGTCCCACCCGCGACGGCTTGACGCCTGCTCCAGAGCCCACACGTAGACAAGCACACGGCCGGCTTTGGGAGTTACGAGTGCCAGTAACTCAGCAATGGCGGCTTGTCTTCTCTCGCGTGTCGACATATGGTGCACAACAGCGATGCAGATAACAAAGTCAGCGGCTCCGTTGCGATAAGGAAGCGCGAAGCCATCGGCGACAGCAACATCTACATCAGATACTCTAGGATCATGCTCAACACCGTCTTCCCGCGGCCGTCTCAGCTCAGTCCGGGCGAGCTGGACGAGAGCTGGACTCCGGTCGGAGCCAAGCAGATGTACAGATGGGTTGACACGTAGATACTTGCCGTTGCCGCAGCCCACATCGAGGCCGAGACTACCGGGCGGTTGAGATAGCAAGAAGCTGGCAACCCGAGGCCAGGGCTTATGGCGGGTGGCCGAGAAGTGCGGTGCGATGGCTTCGTAGACTGCGTGAACGTGGGTGGCCTCGTATGTCTCTGGCGCCTCCTCCGCTGCAGATTGTGAGAAGGACTCTGACTCTGTGGGGGCCGATGTCTGGTTGGTTTGTGCCTGAGAGCTGGGTTGCCGGAGTGGCCTGTCCTCTTGATCTCCAGCCGGCGTGGCCGATGTTGCCATGATGAAGACGATGAAAGGTTCCGTGCAGGTTCTTTACAGGGCGCCTTGTGGAGTATAATCTTCCTTGTCTCTCGGATGTATCTGAGATGACCTAGAGAGGGAGGGAGGGGGTGCGAAGTTGTTGCGTCTGAGCGTTGAGAGATGAGGTTATGATTGAGTTGGTTGGTTGTGTTTCTTGTGATGCTAACTAATTTCTTCAATATTCAAGTAGTGAGTGAATGCCCTGGTCTGGGTTGTGTTGGGCTGGGCTCGACTGGGGTAATTAGTGGGTGTGGTCTACGATTATCTACCGTAAGGTACTAGTAGTATTTAGTGGAGTCATGTTTTAGGGCGGCTCCGTCTTCGTCTTGTGGCTTGAAGGAACATGTTCACTCCATTACTACCTTATACAACGGTCGTCAGTCATGAATAATGGCTCATACTAATAAATGTCTCTGATGATTCAAGTAACTTTAGGTACCTGGCTTATTGATTTGCTAGGTTAGTAGTGAGACCAAACCAACCATTGCCCCGTGCGAGTACGGTATATTGGTGGCTGAGTGCCAAGTTGATGATTCTTACACCACAAAATACAATGCAGTCAGTTGGTTCAGTCAAGGATTGAAGTGTTGCGATCAAGATTAAATTACACATGAAAAAAAAAAAAACCCCTCTCTTATATCCCCTGTTAGATTTTGAGGCCCCTTGTCACGAACACCTCGGATCCGCCTCCAGGCCTCAAAGTCAAAGCTTCTTTTCAGGGTAAAGATACCTTGTTCAGACGGTGTCTTTATATCGTGGACCCCACAATCTCATCTCACATTACATCCATCACTCGTCTTCACATCTCATCGCCCCATTCACACGACGCGAATCCTCCGCCACTCGGTCATTAGGAACCAACAAGTCCTTGCCTTGCTTATGGAACACATTTCGGGCATCTTCTGCACCCCCTCCCATGTCAAGTTGGGCATACACGGCTGGGATAATCTTCAACGATTGATAATAAGCCGTTCATGCCAGGGGTTGTGAGCTGTGGGCATGGGTGCTCCCGCTCGCTTGAAAGGTACGCTGCACGTCATCATAAGCTGAGACTCGAGTCTCGAACTTGTGCTTCAGCAGAGAAGCGTGTAAATTGGTGTCTTGGCTTGGATGATCATCCTTGGATTTGCACCAGGGCCAATGCAACATGGGGTGGAATAAATCCGCCAGGCGCCAATTTTCCTCTCTTGCTTTATTCTTTGTCATCCGGTCAAAGCAGAGTCGTCAGGTGTTGGTGATTGCTTTTGAAACCCAAGGGTCTTCCCCTGTCATGTCACTTTTGACACGAACCGTTAATCTCAAGCACCCGCCTATAGCGCCAGGATTGTTGATCTCTGACGATGCATGTAGTACGCATCTTATGCAAGTGGTCAGAGTTCACATGTCACTCGACGCATTGACGCAGGTGCGTGATACAGCTCAATGCTGTGATTATCCCTGCATATCCTCGAACTTTTATTTCATCATGAATTCTAGGATTATGTCCAGCATTACACATCATGTCTTCATTTTTTGCCAGTATTGAGAGGACTGTTGGGATCGAAGACATCAGTGGTGATGAGATCGGGGTAGGACACACCGCCCTGCTTGAGTGCGCTGTCCATGACCTCCATGATGACTATACTCTCTGACCAAGGCATTGAAGCACTCTCCTTCTTGCCATCTTGTAGGCAACGTGCACACTCATCCGCCTCCCAGAACATACCGTGGCCCCAGTTGTTGCGCTTAGGATCTGTAGGAATTGGGCAGTTCACTACTTCCACCTTGCCATTGGCGTCCGACTTGATCACCTTGTACTCGGTCGGCCGGAACGCAGGACCAGTAACCTGAATTTCCCCCTTAGAGCCCTGGATACGGATCGCGGGGCCACCAGTGTAGAGACCATCGACGTCGGTGGCGATGCGCAGTGAGGTAGTCGCAATACCGACAGAGTTGTGCTTAGGGAACTGACAGATGATACTCGTGGACTCGTCGGCACCTGTGCGATACTTGTTGATGGAGGCTACAACCTTTGGAGCCTCCTTTTCGGCCTCGGGCTGAACATGATAGAGAGATTGGAAGACCCAGGTCAAGGAGTAGATGCCGAGGTCGAGCAAAGCACCACCTGCAAGATCAGGATTGACCATGCGGTTGGAATCAGGAAAGTCAAGATCTTGGCTATCAGTATTCTTGTTGAACGAGAGGTCGGCTATAGGAGGAGTCAGCTTTATCGTATACCTTCGACAGGCATTCTTCTTACCGAATGTGCGATAAACAGTACCAATGGCACCAGACTGGATCAACTCGCGAATTTTGATACTGAGAGGGAAGTATCGTGTCCAGACAGCCTCCATAAAGAAGAGGTTCTTGGACTTGGCGACCTCATACAGCTTCTTGGTCTGTGCAGCAGTAACAGTGAGTGCCTTTTCACAGAGAACATTCTTGCCAGCCTCGAGGGCCAGCATAGCATTCTGGAAGTGGTGGCTGTGAGGTGTAGCAACATAGATGATGTCAACGTTTGGGTCGGCGACTAGCTCAGCGTAGGAGCCGTAGACAGCAGCGGATGAGGGGCCATCAATCTTCTTGATAAAATCGCGCGCACGGTCGACGGAGCTGGATGAGGCAACGGCGACAATCTCATGCTGTACATCGTTGACATCGCGAGCGGCAGGATCTGTAAGAATATCCTTGGTGAAGCCTATGATGGGAGTTTAGTGCCTTGTTCATCGTGTTACAGAGCTATACTCACACTCAGCGATGCCACCGGTAGCCAAGATGCCCCATTTAGCAGTGTAGGGAGCCATAATTACAATTGATTGGCGATGAAGTTGATATGTCACGCAAAGGACCAAGATGTTGAAAAGAGGAGGTTAATAAGTATTCTCAAAGTCAACAACTCAAGTGACGTTACATATCTTGATGAGCTCCGACCCCTCAGAGCTATGGCGGGGCAATTGCCAGATCCAATCCAATCCAATTATGTCCATGGCGGTTTGTGGAGAGATGCAGAATTGAATTCACTTGGCACATCCGGAAATACGGCCCGTTGTCCTATACTAGACAGCTTTAGGAACAACTCTGAGCAACAGCTATCTTGTAAGATCGCCGATCAATAGAGCACTGTTCATTTCAACGGCGTGACTCATTGATCGTGAATACTTGCAATTGATACTGTCCATTGATTGTGATTCCTCAACCCCGCGTCGACGTGGGGGTTGAAGACGAGAATATCGACGTTAACTATGAATTGACTTACATGATCTTGTTAAGTCCGGCTAATTTCCACATCAACATATTCTCAATGTTCGTCGAACACGAATCTACTGTACACTTTCTCCAACTGCGTTTGAATAGCCCAGCGTTGTCTCACGCTCAGCTTGAAGTTTATTGGTTTATAAAGGCATCGGCTCAGTTAGACGGCCGCATCCATGGATCTCTCAGCCAAATACTGCATGTCTGTACGCGGGGAACCCTCAATGTTTGCAGTCAATGATTGGCTGCCTAGTCATGTGTTGGCCGTTGAAATTGACGCCATGTACAGGTGGTTTGAGGCTCAACATGGCGTAATTGACCAACATCACCAGCTTAAACTATCTCCAAACTCCACCTCTTCACATTTCAAATACCCGTCTAGCACTGTCTCTCCCAGTTTCTGTGTTCTATCAACACCAACAAACCAATTGAGTACTTATATAGAGTCAACTCCATCTTATCCTCACTTTTCAGTGGTATTTTTTAAAAAATGGCAGCCAAACTAGCCAAAGACCTCACCCTCAAGGGCTCATCCACTGCCATGCCAAAGCTGGTCTATGGCACAGCGTGGAAAAAGGACAGATCAGCAGATCTTGTTTATTTCGCTCTCAAGCACGGCTTTCGTGGAGTCGATACAGCAGGACAACCCAAGCATTACAATGAGAAGGGCGTTGGGGAGGGTGTGCAAAGAGCTATCAAGGAGGGCCTCATTAAACGTGAAGGACTCTTTGTAGGTTCCGTCACCATATACATCAACAAACTAGGCACTGACCTGTCCTCAGCTTCAAACAAAGTTCTCACCTCCAGGGAACCAAGATGAAAATGCACCTTATGATTTTAATGCACCGCTTGTGGATAAGATTCATCAATCTATTCAGTCATCATTGACTTACTTCACCGTTGAAGGCGAGGAACCTTACTTTGACAGCGTGCTTTTGCATAGCCCCCTGCGAACTCTCGAGGAAACTATCACTGCGTGGAAGACTCTGGAGACATACGTGCCTCACAAGATCCGCAACCTAGGCATCTCTAACACGACACTTCCGATCCTTAAAGCACTCAACGATGCTGTCACTGTTAAACCAAGTGTTGTCCAGAACCGCTTCTACTCTGATACCAGCTTCGAGGTAGATCTCAGAGCCTACTGTCGAGAGCAAGGAATTGCTTTCCAGTCATTCTGGACTTTCAGCGCCAACCCCAGGCTCGCTGCTACCAAGCCAGTTAAGATGGTCGCAGAGAAGGCTGGAATTTCCGAGGTAGCTGCGTACTATTCTCTGGTCTTGGGGCTCGAAGGCGTAACGGTTCTGGATGGAACAACGACTGAAAATCACATGAAGGATGATCTTGAAGGTATCGAGAAAGTTGCTACTTGGGCGGAGACGGACGGAACAGCTGAATGGAATTCTGCTTTGAAACAGTTTAAGCAGAGTATCGGGGAAGTCTGAGGGTTTCTCTTAATACGTCTGAATCTTCAGTGGTGCTCAGACGGTTGGTACTGTTGGCGTTAGGGACGTAGAGGCAGACTCGCAGTTTCTGCCAGTGATAGAAAATGGAAGTCGTCAACTTTACCTTTGGTACCAAACGCGTTCTGATTCATTCACATACATTCTTGACCTTCCCTGTCACATCACTTCTCTTACCATCAATAACATAAACTTTTTTCTTCCTCTCACATTTTCTCAAAATCACGAGAGCATTCGCGTTCATCACAACTCGCCTTTCACCGCCTCTTATGATCCCATCAGCTTTCATCGGTCGCAGTGAATATTTGATCTATCCAGGAAACGTCGTGCCCGTGTTTCCAAACACAGCACTATATCATGAGTATTCGTCGAGACGCCGTGCAACGAGACTTCGGTCTCCGGCCTGGTGAGTCTGATGCTTTCTGATGCTGCACCTCGTGATTCCTTCCCTTAACTCTTACTTTTAGGTTCACGGGCTGTGCCTAGACCTCAGTTGTCCATCGAACCCGCAGAAGATGTTGTGACATCGCCCGCCGAGATGAATTCTCCTCCCCACTCGTCTGATGATGCCCGAGAGCCGTATGTGCAAGAAAGTACCCCTCTCACCCCAGTTAAGGACACTTGCGATGACGATCGTTCATCAACTATCTCTCCAACAGTCAATACCAACGGTCTGCTTCCAATCCCGAAAAATCGATCCCCAGAAAGGCGTGGCAGCGACGATTCGCAGAGTGGCAAGGAAAGCCCCGGAAGCCCGAAAACTCCTTCCCTCCCCGCCCATTTCCCGCCTTGCCCTAGGGAGCGACCTACACGCCAAGAGATCGCCCTCTGGCATGAAGGATGTATGGCTGTTCAACGCGATGATGGGACCGTTGATGGCTTCGACGTCGTGGACTGGCTGATGACAAGAAAGGGGGGAGTTCTCAACCCTTGGCCTAGGCTAGACGAAGGGCGGATGGTCGTCGAGAGTATGGGGCGGGAGATTATTGACCTTGATGCGATCCACCGCCAACAGGAGGAAGAAGCAAAGGTTGCCAGGCTCAAAGAAGAGCGTCGACAGAGAAACAAACGACGATATCGACCTCGTGGTCAGATCGAGAAAGAAAAGGCCGAACGACGAGCTGTCCAAGAAGCCCAACAGGCCCAAGATTTAGCTAAGAAGACATCCAGTGCCTATGATTCGGAGCAGGGGCAAGATATGGCCGACACCGACGAGCCTCCAGCAAAAAAGGCTAGAGTTGATATTGAATCCTAGAAACGGCCACGAAGAAACGAAGGCAACTACCTAGGCACATGGGTTTGCATTTACACTCACAAAAGGCGATTTCGGCGTTAGGGTCTTTCCACATTAATAGCAACCAGGGGCCTGATTGTATCTAAATCGGTTGCTTTCATGTCTGCTTTGGAGTTCTTTGGAGCAATACCGGTGTTTTGTCAATTATGTCTTTGCGATGACGGATGATCACATGTTGTCCGCACCTGCAGTACACTTTATTTGACATACTTTTGCGTTCTATTCTTTTGTTTTCTATTTGTCAGACTTTCCAATATCCTTTGCAAATGTGTTTGCCACAATAAAGGGGAAACATGCTGTTGCCTCCATGTATACCTTGTGAATGGTCAGTGACTAGCAGGAGTAGAAGAGACGTGTCGACTTACTTTCACATTATCAGCTCCAATCTTGATTTTGCCCCACGATACAGCCTCATCTGGTCTAGCACCTGCATCGCTGCCATCAAATTCTTGTGCTGTGTTGATGTAAACCGCCGACTCGGCACCATTGCGCATCAAGCATGCATTGGCAATGTGGTGCTTAATGATACCACCACCCAGAATGATCATACCGGCCCGCTTGGCTCGGACAGCAATGGTGTTGATGCGTCGGATATCTTCGACCAGATCGATCTTCAGTTGAAGGGGCGAGGACTTAAAAGTATGGAAATAGAGCATGTCGCCGAGGCTTCCGTCAGTGATGGCAGGGCAGAACACTGGAATATTGTTCTTGTATGCCCAGTAATAGACGGATCGCTCATCATTGATCTCCTTACCTAGACGATGGATCACCTTGGATGGCGTCCAGTTGATCTCTTCCTCAGTGCCTTTACTAGCCTCCTGCTCCTCAAGCATCTTGTCGAGAATGGGGACGACCCAGTCTTCGAAGGCGCAGTAGTTCGCATTAGGAACAACGAGGTTTCCAATGCGGTTGAGGCCCTTGCGGCGGAGTTCGGCTCCAGGGGTACTGAAGGAACCAACATATGTGTCACCAAGGCACTTGATGAAATCCTCTTCGATGCCACCAGCCGTGGTGACGATACATGACACGTGGTTATGCTCGACAAGCCAACGGAGGACACCACGAAGGCCTGATGAGATGAGGTTGGAAGTATATCCCAAGAAAATTGTGGTCTTATCCCCCGTCTCCGGGTCTTTCCATGCACGCTACCAGTTGTTAGCCAAGGTGGTGTACCTTTCAGAGTTTGAAACTCTAGTATAGAGTTTCTGAATCGAAACGCACCATATCATTGATGATCCTCACGGCCTCACACATAGAAGACGCTTGGAAGCCCATGTGACGCATGCCCTCGAAGAGATTCTCCGCAGTGATGGGGCCTTTGAACTTGTTGAAGTCCAACTCCTCGACCTTCTGAGCATCAGCAGGCATCTCCTCGGACTTGACCAAGACGGCCTCTGTGGCCGCCGAAGGCGGAGCATCGGAGTTGGAAGTCATTGTCGTAAATTTCGCGCCCAAGGTGTTGATGTAAGTGGTGAGCCGTATGTTTCGAGTCGTAAATTTGTAGGTAAAATAGTGGACGGACAACACAGAATTCAATGGCCAATCGAAAACTCAGCAAATGTTGAACACAACGCCAGGATGTATAAAAAAAATTAAGAATGAAAAGAGTTTTCCCAATGGCAATGTATCATCTGATTTGCTTTTCTCATTAAAGATACTTACTTATTCTATGATTCGTTAATAACATTGTGACTCTTATCTTCATGATTTCTTCCGTGAGAAAATCACGGCTCCGGGCTCCACATTGAAAAAAACGGCGGGGTCCATCGGGGCTTCAAAAAGTGGGCGTGCATGTATCCCTCCGACTGGCAGATCTATTTGGGGTCTAGCGTCTCACGGCAATTCTGGGTCAAGGCCCCTGGACATTCGCTGAGGAGCCCTTCCATCCACCACTAAGCGCCACACGACAGTGTGTCCATTCCAATTTGCAGGATGGGGTCGCTTAAGCTTAGGCCCCTAGGATCCAAATGCACGCCTGAGGCTTGACTTCGATCCTCAAACCTTCAACCTACATCCAACCATCCCTCTGTCGCAAAAGGTACTGTCGCCTTTGCATATCGACCCTCATTTCATCGCGATTTACTTGTCTCGGACACGGTGCTCGCATATAATAACGCTAATAAGTTCTACGTCTGTTTTGACTTCTTATTTGATACCCCATTCATTCGACGGATTAAGGGTGTTTTTTGGTAACCGAGACGCGACGTCAACGATCTGGGTACGACACGGCGACACAAGACCTGCGAAAGTTTAGTAAATCTCGACGAGTCAATTTCTTCAGTGTTAAACTTACGGAGCTTTACGTGGCGCACGATATTCGGTGTCATAATTTTGACTTTTGCATAACTGGGTGCATGGGCTGCCTATAAATAACCACTTCCTTGGGGCTTCCTGCAGCCTTTGAGAAATGTACGAACAATCGCCCCATCCCATAATCTTCAATTCTAGTCATGCGGCGAAGGAGAGATTCTAAATATCACCGCACGAGTCGGTCCCTACGCCGTTCGCCCTCTGCGGGATTGTCTTCATGCTGACTTCGTCCATCTAGGGCCTCAAGATATTCACGCTATGAACGGTCCAGATCACCCCGTGACCGCTCGCCTGACCGATTTGACCGAACTCCGCAGTACAACGACGGAGACAGACGCCGACCGTCTGACGCCCGAGCAGGTAATGGCGGGTTTCAGCCAGGACGTGACTTTGGTGACCCATTGCGACGCGAACCACCTCGCGGACCAAAAGCCTTGATCGATGCGCCTAGTGGCCCTCGAGGCGGAGGATTTGGAGGAGAGTTTCGTGGTGGTCGTGGGCGAGGGCGCGGTCGTGGATGGTCTTCAAGAGACGACAGCCGAGATCGAGGTCGAGATAGAGACATCGATTTCCGTGACCGGTACCATGATGATCGAAGCCGTGAACGCGACCGGGATCGCGAGCGCGATAGAGAGTGGCGTGAGCCAAGAGATTTCAGATCACGACGCTCACCTATTGGCCGTGCAAGGTCACCAACAAGAGATTTCCGAGACCGCGATGGTCCTTTGGGAGTAGATGCAGATAGATCTCGACGCGGTTCAAGAGATGGAGGACCTCCCTCGGCAGGATCATCTTCTTCCGATCCCCAGTTCGGCATGGCACCCTATCCTCGCGGTGGGGGGTTCCACCGAGGACGAGGTCGTGGGAGGGGTGACTGGTCTTCGGAGCGAGGTCGCGGCAGAGGGCCTTATATGGATGATAGAGGTGATCGCTACCCGCGCAGTCGGTCTCAGGAAGGTCGCTGGGGAAGAGACCGTGATGACAGGGACCGGATGGACCGGATGGATCGCTATGCTGACCCAGATACCCGACGAGACATTCGAGACGATCGCGACCCCCGCGACCGTGAACTGTTCCGAAACAAATTAGAGGCTCGTGCCAATGCCGGACACGACTCGGGACTTTCCAGCAAAGAGGTATCACCGCCTCCTGCCGCGCCTTCTGCATCTGCTTTCGGACCCGTTCCTAATCGAGGATTGAGTGTTGGAGAGGGTTATGTTTCAGCCAGCGCTGCAACAAAAATCCCGCCGACAGCCCCCCGCGCTTTCAATGATCGCCCCCCGTCAGCGGGACACGACCCAACAATGCCGTCAGTCGGTCTCGGTAAAGGCATGATGCATGATGGCCCCTCGATTCCAGTTGGTCCCAGAGCCCAGCAGCCGCCGCCACCAAGGCCTTCTAGCAAGCAGTGGATCAATCCCAATCTAAAGAAGGGGCCTGACTCTCCTAAGTTGATGAGGTCACCAAGCTTTATGCAACAACGACCACCCTTACGCCGCGGTAGTTCCCAGTATGATCATTATCACGATGATGAAAGGCGGCCACGCAGTAGCGATGCGAAGTCGGAACCCCATTACGATAATCGTGCGCGAACTAATTATAGCGCGGAACCTGGAGAAATAACCGTCAAGTCCGAACGGGAGTCTCAATCTGCAAGGGCATCGATGGATAGAGATACACGACCTACTAATGCTTCCAGACGGGATTCTTATCGATCTGGCCCTTCACCTACCATGGAGAACATGCCCAGATTTGGCCAGGAGTCAGAACTACGCGCAAGGGACCCAAGGGAAGCTCCGAAGGAAGCGCCCCGAAGAAAGCGCTCGCAACCAATAATCAGAGCGGTCAGGTTCGAAGTTCCCCCGAAACCAGCACCTGTGGAGCAGAACTCCGAATCTGACGACGATGATGATATGGCCGACTATTTCGACATGGAGATTGGGAAGACCGAGGCTGAACTAAGCAAACTGGAGAAGCCGAAGTTACCAACTCAAGTCATGGCCCGGTTTGCTGCTCTGTCTCACGGCTCAATGGTCAAGATAATCGGAGAAGGGGAGGGACTGCTCAAAATGGTGAAAAAACTACCGGAGGCAGTGAATAAGCGCGTCATTGAAAAGATACATGACCCGACACCTAACGAGCAGGCAAAGAAGGAAGATGTGGAAATGGCCGACGCGGTTGACAGCGCGGACAAAGTTGATTCCGAACCACCAAAGCAACTGCATCAGGAGGTACAGGCCGAGCTGGATCCTGGGCCTGAGCATTCTATTCAAGTCAAGGGTTCTGAGGAGCCTGTTGAAGCTGCCCCCACTCCAGAATCCTCGGCACAAGTTGGTCAGGAGACTACCGAAAGACCTGTCGAACATCCTGCGAAGGCAGCTGGCGAGAAGTTCGATGACAGTTCCCACGAAGAGGCTGCTCCGAATCTTGACAAGACGTCCGATCAAAGTCATGTCGAGAAGTCTGACGAACAACGTATCGAGAACCCCGTCGAGAAACCCGTCGAAGAGTCTATCGGAAAGCCTGCTGAAGAAACGGAAGAGAATCATGCAGAGAAACCTGTACAAAAGGCAGAGAACGAGGATACCGAGATGTTCGTTGCACCTGAACTTGAACCAAAGTCAGGAGATATGGATATCGACGAGCCTCCTGTTGAGACTGATCGAGTCGCACCTGAAAGTCCACCATCTCCTTCCAACAAGAAGGTCATGGATGTGCCTTCCATAGTAAGTGAGACTGCGCCTACAGAGTCATTTGAGCCTCAGAAGACAGAACGAACACCTCTGGGGGCGTGCGAGGATTCTCACAAGGGGAAGTCTGACAAGGACAAGCCAGTTGACATAACTGCAAAGGCGAATGGTGTACAGCCGACACAAACCCTGGTGGAAAAGCCAACCGAAGCCCTCCCTGAGCCTACTCCAGGAAAACCAGATGATGCTGTTTCGGAGAAACCTGCAGAACTTTTTACTGAACCTCGCCCCGAGAATCTAACAGAGAACGCTGAAGCTCTTGGACATAGACAGGTCGCAATTGAAGGTGCTCCTGTTTCTGTGGTGTGCCCGAATGTAGTTTTGCAAACGACGGAAACAGCATCGAAACCGCCTAGTACGCCGTCACAGGTCGACGACGACGAGACTGAGTCTGAAGACGATTCTTTTATGAACCTTGATACCGTTCGACAGTATATGACCACGCCTCCAATCGATAGTCTACCTGACTACAGCTGCATGCCTTGGGACAAAGATAGTGCTTTCTTAAAGACCCTCGACTCCAGCATTACATTGGACGACTTTGTGGTCGAACACCTCGACAAGATGCATCTGGAGAAGTCGGCTGAACAGGACCACGACAGGAAGATCTATAAGGACAACTATGAACGGTACCTAGATTTTACAATGTCGAATGATCCAGCGGCTGTCAAAAGTCGTGGAAAGTTTTCAGTGTCGACAGGCATTGAAATTACAGGCACCGTAACGCCTGAGCCAAAACATGAAGGAAGTGGTCGTGGACGTCGTTTCGCAACCGAAAGAGATTTGGAACGAGTTTTGCAAGCATCAATGCGCGAGGACGAGGAGAGGAAAGAGCGCGAACTTAGAATGCAGCAGGAGAAGTATCGCACTGATAAGGAAGCCATCATTCCGAACATGATTTGGAACCAGGAAGAGAAGGATAATACTAAATACCTCGACAAGAGCGGATTCACGCCTGTTGACCGGTTGGTATCAGCATGGCGGGTTTTGCCTCCAGTTAATAACTTCACTGAGGAAGAAGCCGGCTTGTTTGAGAAGAGATACTTGGAAGCACCTAAGCAATGGGGTCGGGTTGCCGAAGCGATTCCGCATCGTGATTTCGGTTCTTGCATTCAGTATTACTACATGAACAAGAAGGACCTTAATCTGAAGGAGAAACTCAAGAAGCAGCCTAAGAGGCGCAGAAAGGGCAAAGCGAAGCAACGATCTAGTGCATTGGTGTCGGAACTAGGCAACGGAGACGGAGAAACGGAAGAGAACCACGACACGGGAGAAAATGGCGAGAGGCGACGACCACGACGAGCGGCTGCGCCTACATGGGGCTTCGAACAGCCGCCAGTTGACACAGAGAACTCGACACCTAATGCGACACCTGGTAGACGTGGCGGGTCCGCGAAGGTCGACCATCCCGAGAAAGTGGATGGAAGAAAGAGGCGAAGAGGCCCGAAGGAAAAGGAGCCCAAGGCAGCCAAGGCGAACCAGACGTTGGCCGCAGCCCCTGGGCCTGGCAAGGGACGATCGAGGTCAAACTCCAGAGCGCTCAATACCGACGGTCCTTCAACTCCACTTCCAACCGCCGAGTCCCATCGTCTCCCAGGTCAGTTCGAGCAGCACCCTGCTGGTATGCAGCTCCCCTTCTCCGTACAGCAGCAGCAGCAACAACCACAACAACAGCCTATCCAAACCCTCGAACGACAGCAGTCAGTTGCTCCATCCTCCATCTCTGAAGTCATGGCAGCGCCTTCACTTCGGCCTGACCCACCGCCTCAGCCTGCAATGGCTACATTCAACCTAGCCCACCCGCCGTCAGAGCGCAAAGCGCCTACTCAGGCATCTAGCTACTGGAGCGTGTCTGAATCTAATGACTTCCCGCACCTCCTGCGCTCGTTCGGCTCGGATTGGACAGGGATCGCAGCCCATATGGGCTCTAAAACCGCAGTTATGGTAAGTTCTGACTGTCTCTCGTAGGCCCACTACTAATGCGCTCGATAGGTGAAAAATTACTTCGTCCGTCAAAAGGATCAGGGCAAGGCCGAGTGGGAGGTGCTTGTCCAGGATGCTGACAGGAAGAGAGCTATAGGCGACAAGCTGCCCGATCCTCCACAGCCATCAACAGGAGGGCGAGGAAGGAGATATGACAGTTCAGCTGCAGCTTCCCGGCCGTTGGCTGTTGCCCCGGGTATCGATCTGCACGGAGAGACGTCGCAACCCAAGATGGAGCCATCAGTTCAACCCCCTCGTGGTCAACCTTTTGGCATGTATGGCAGCCCCATCGCCCAAGCGCCTGTTACGCAGCAACCTCTTGTCCAACCCCAACAGCAACCCATGCCTATTGGACAGCATTCAACAACCCAGCCAGTAACTCAGACTATGTCACCAGGTCAAAGGCCTTTGAGAGCACCTGTACGGCAATTCGGATTTCCCGATGGCGAGCGCGAGCGAGAGCGTGACCGCGAGCAAAGTGTCCGGGTACCTCTTCCACAGAAGGCTTCCTCTAGACCTCCTGGTTCGGAACCACGGGAGCAGCGGCCTCTGGCTGCCGCGCAGCCTCTACAGCCAGCCCGGAGCGAAGCTATGATTGAACACAATGCTCAAATGGAACGTCAAAAGATGGATATACAGCGGCTCGAACAGGAGCAGCTCGAACTGGCTCGACAGTCAGAAAGACGGGTCAAGCAGGAGCCTGAAGTGACCCCACAGCCGCATCGCTACGAACCGTTTGGGCATCGTCAACAAGGAAGTCTCGGGGGCCAGCCGCTGGCAAGGCCACCGCAAGAGCCTGGACGCCCTCCATCTTATGCTCCTCCTATGCAGCAACAAGTCCCTGTGCAGCCGGTACGAAACCTGATGGGCGAGCAAACCCCTGTTCGATCACCTCAGATGAACACTCCATCCAGCCGCCCCATGTCTGCTCTCCAGCATAGACCGTCATCTGGTTCGATGCACGAACAATATGGCTCGGCAACACCCCAAGCTGGCACTCCAGTTCAACCACCGGCAGCGGCGCCACGTCCAGCAGAGCCTCGTAAGGGAGGTCTCAACATCATGTCCCTGCTTAATGACGATCCTCCTCCACAACCCAAGCGTGTCAGTGATGTGACTAGCACTCCTACCAGACCATCACCTACTCCTCCGCCCCAGGCCATGGGCCGTACGCTCCCAGGGCCAGCACCGCCTTCTCAGATGCGACGGGGCGAGGCAGAGTCATACTCTCCTTACGGTCGAGGAACCCCAGTAATGCCATCCCTCAAGCCAACATATGCGGATTCCCCTCAGCCTCAGCACATGGGCAGTTCGAGGGCATCCATCGGGGTCTCCCTAGAAGCAGCAGCAGAAAGGGACTACTACAGGCAGAATCCTTACCAACCCAGTAGCCACAGCCGAACGAACTCACCACAAAGTGGCCATCGATATGCTCCTCCTGGACCTCCTGGACCCCCCGGGCCTCCTCAGTACCAGAACCAGGGATATCCGACTTCATATGCTGCAGCAGGCCAACCAGCCCATGCCGGATCGCCAGGAGGGCAATACGCGCTTCATCCATCGGCCTCTCGGGCACGAGAAGTACCCCAGGGTGGCCGCGAGGCTTCATGGCCGCCGCCTCAACAACCTCCTTCCAGCATGCAGCAGCCGCCTGGATGGGCATCTCAACAGCCACCAAATGCTCAACCCCCACCGCAGCAGCAACAGCAACAACCCTGGCCTACGCAACATCCCTCGTCCAAGCCTCAAACCCCAGCGCCATCTTGGGCACCATCACAACCACCTTCACAGCCTCCGCCTCAGCAAGCTCACCATATGTCCATGAGAGACGATGGCCGTAATTCTTACTTTGCCAGTGGACCTGGCATGCCGCCGCAGCAGCATCAGATGCAAGGACGCTACCCACCAACAGTGTCGCGTGGCCCAGAGTCAGTGCCACCTCCGCAACCATACTCACGTTATGCTTCTACTCCTGGCCCTGGCCCGCCTCGAGAGATCCCCGGCCGCAGCTACACGCCCATCAGTAGCTATGACTCACGCGGGCCACCCCAGCCTCCGCCAGGAGCACCTGTTTATCCCGGCCATGATCCAAGAGATCCACGAGGAGATCCTCGAGGAGATCCTCGAGGTGACCCAAGGGGAGATCCAAGAGACCCAAGGGACATGATGAGGGGAGGACTGAGACCACATGAGTACGAAAGGCATCCAGATCACTATAGGAGGTAGATCGATATGCGGATGACTTATATTCATACATTGGAAGTCAGACAGGTTTCGTATTCTAGGAGCACTATCATGAGTTTGGCGCAACTGAGGCGATAGGCTATGCAGCATGAGCGGTCTGAGTGTTATGTAAATTATATACCTACACTGTAACTGATTTTATTAATTGGACAAGTGAAGTTGACAATGCAAGCAAACCTGGTATCGTCCCTTCTACTGATTCGTCGCTTTGATGTTTTGTTAAAGTGTGTCGTGAGAGGCTCAAGAGCTTCATGAGCCGAGCCCCACCAATTAGAATAAATACCCACTGCAAAGTAAAGTAAACAACCCCGCCAAAACTTCCTCACGCCGGCGCAACGCGTTGAAACCAACGACAGCCTTCCACAGCCTTCAAAGGACACACAGAAATACATTCGTTATGGCCTCCCACTCAAGGTCAGCATCCGCGATGGGCGGTCACGAGAAGTCGTACTTCGAGCAGCAGCGTGAGGCTCTGATTGGCGAGATCGCAATGGCACGTTATGTCTCCCGTAGTCAATAGCGTTCATGCTAACATTATACTGTCCAGAGCTTTGAGCACGTCTTGGCCAATATCAACAAGTTGAACCGATCTCTCGAGGCAGTCACTGCTGTATGAACAACAGTCTTTTTCAAGAGGACCAAGCTAATAGAAATGGATGCACAGGTCGGCAACGAATTCTCCTCGGTCGAGGCACTATGGTCGCAGTTCGAGAACGTCATGGACAAAGATGGCAAGGCTGAAGGCGAGACGGAACAGGCTGATCAGACGGAGCATCATGAAGAAGAAGGCGATACTACAGTGAAGCACGAGGGGGCGTGATGGGGGCTTTGGGACGCTGTTTATGATACCCTGCGGATAACGAATTAATGACCGAGTAATACAAGATCTCAAGGCAAATAATCACAAAGGATCGTTGGTGATGATATAACTAAGCATAGTTATTTCACATCAAGAGACTTTAGCACGCGTCACTTCACCAGGAGCAATTTCTACAACGAATCAGTCTTGACTGTCTGATTCTAATCTGTCTGGTTCTGGTATCTACTCTTCACCAAGACATCCTCTCAAATCCAGAGTCTAGCAATCTGTACCAGAGCCGGTTTAACAATCTTGATTCAGTTTCTTCAGCTTAGGGCAGCAATCATTGACCAACAGTTAGACAGTTCCAAAAAAAAAAAAAAAAAAAAAAAAAAAAGAAAATCACCAACAAATCAAACAAGCAATCCTCATCTTCGTCCTTCCATCGGTGCTCGGTATCCTGTAGGACTCTTCTGAGGTTTTGGGCCGCTTAATGCCCTCTCATCTCAACATCGTGGCTGGTAGGAACAAAAGTTCATATGATAGTAATTGGTAGGTGTTGTCTCAACTCTTTGCAAGTGGATGGGGCGTTTGGTCCATATCGTCGTAGGTCTGTCTCGTAGACAAACATCGCAAAGGGAAAAGAAAGTATAAAAGCAAACCAAAGGCAAAGCCAATAGCGCGCGCGCTCATCGCTGCGTCAAGTCGTGTTTGGGCGTATGCCCATCGTGGGTATCATGGTATGTATCATCATGATAGTCTTGCACTTCATGGCAAAAGCAATAGGTAAAAAGGGAGATAGCTAGGTATCTGTGGGCGCTAAATAGCTGCACCAAGTTGTTTATGTAGGGTTGTTAAATCTTGGTTTCCAATGTAGAGCCAGCTGTCGAGATATCGTGTGACTTCTGGAGATGTTGTGGTAAGTAAGCAAGTAGTTTAAAGAGAGCCTCAAATAAACAGGGGATCTTCCTGTCAGATGGGCTCTCTGCAGTAGATGTCTTTCTGTCTTTCTTTCTTTCACCTTTTCTCTGCTTCGTCGTCTCCCATTTCTGTTGGTGGGAGATCAAAAGAACTCGTTGGTTGGATCAACGGTCTTATCGACATGGTTACCAGCGATTTCATGATAATCGCGACCATAGTGAGCAGCCACCACGGATTCGGGGCTCTCAGGATCCGCAGGCTCACACCCCTCATACTTGCGGTACGTGATTTCTTCTTCCTGCTGCGTTTTTCGGATAAGATCGACGGCGTGTTGCAGGTTGTCAGTGGGATCATGGCCACAATCTTCGGCATAACGGAGAATTTGCCCCCTCAACCTCTCGTACTCTTCATCCAAGTGCTCGCACATTTGAAAGGCGGCGGTCGCCTCGCGATTGATTTTGACCGCAAGGCGCCGGCCCTCGACGATGTGTCTTTCCACAGATCGGTAGATCTTGAGACGTCGGCGACGAGCTGCCTCCTCGCTCTCTTCCTCTTGTTGCTTCAGCTTCTGCTGCTGGTTGTGCTTGTGTATGCAGGCTACTGCATCTGCTCGATCCCACTCGTCGAGGATGATTTCGTTTCGGGACATAGCCGGTTGCATCTGAGAGGTGTATTTGTTCTTTGCCAGGGAATCTATGTGAATAGATTCCTGGATACGGTCGCATTCGGTGAGAACCCTTCGTGGCTTACAGCCCTGAATGACGGGCGCTTCTGGGTGCGCGAGGGCGGCTTTGACTTCAGCCTGGAGTTTCATATTAGCATCAAAGACTGAAAGACAGAAAGGGAAATATACTTACACGACTTAGCTTGTAAGTCATGGCAGACAATGCTCCGTCACTCCCGGCAGTTGAAGGAGCTTGTTGGTACAGCTGTTCTGCTTTGTCGTTACGAATCATCCCGCCGTTCGAGGTCAACTCGGCAATTCCATCTCGCCAAGTGACTACAGCTCTAGGATCGCGAGCAGCTATGCAATTTAGCAAGTCTATGAGAGAGAGCAGCATGTGTCAACTTACCAATCAATTGCTCAGGGCTTTCGTTCCGGACGTTCTGAAGGGTTGTGAAAAATCCGCCAAGCCTATCTATCTCGAGCTCCTTCATCAAAGCCTCCGTGGCTGGTTGTCCCGGAGTAAAGTCCTCTGGGAGTTCTTCCTCCTCAAATCCCTGTAACATGGATACCATGTCATCAGTGGCGGCGTAGTACTATTCGCCGTCCACTGATTCTTGATAATACAATCCCTCAGGGACGAATCTGTCCGAGCTTCTGGCTCTTGTCAGGATCAACTCAGTTTGGTCACTGGCATCGTCAGTCTGCTCAACCTTTGGTTCTGGGGTCTTCTGCCCCTCGCACCCAAGGTTAGTGTTCTGATGCTCGACACTCGGGATAACTTGAGAGTTGTTCGTGGCGGCGATCAAAGATTCATTCAAGGCGACTTTATGGGGCGGGAGCTCAAAGTCCTCCGTCATCTCTCGCAGCAATCGCTGTTCGTCCAACTCTTTCGGTTCGTCTGCGGCGATCGATTTCGTTTCATCGACGTTTGGTCCAAGCAGCCCTACGCTACGAATTCGATCAACAACTGCAAGAGAACTTCGGTGGCGGGCATATGCCTCCAGCTGACAGTCAGACGTCTGATCTCGGTTATGTCTTGGCCAATACCACAGCAAACTTACCTCTTCAACAGTCTCGACCTCTGCAGGGTCTCCTCCGTGCTGCCAGGTCCGTGGTGGGTGAACGTCTAGGAGCCGTTAGTTTGTACGAGAAAAAGACTTGTGGAAACTTACCGTTGGTTGTATCACGCTCGACTGGTTCTTTGCCTGATCGGCCAACTTCTTGCGCAACTTGATTCTGGTTGGCGTCACCACCAGTATCTTGGTTCATGGTTCGGTCAGATCGAGTCTTGATTTCAACAAGCTGCGCCTGTTTGTTCTCCATGTGAACTGCCTTAGCAACCAGAGCGTCTTTGCTGGTGGGTTCATTGCGCACTTGTTGGTTGTGGCCTTGGTCGTGAGAATATAAGGCCGGAGCCATTGCAGGCCGAGGGAGGAGATTTTGGTCCATCGAAACATCAAACTTTGACGGATATGACTGGAGGCTTGGAGTCTTTGGGGAAACAGGGGTCTTGTGAACCATTTCCTGCGTGGCAGTGTTGAGGTCGCCAGAGAACTCTCGAATAAGCTGGCCCATTTCGTTTTGCCCAACTGGAAGCTTCCAATCAAGGCCCTTGAATGTTCTATCCTGCCTGTAAAACTGCTGTTAGTGTTCTCGATCACGCTGAATACATCTGCAAAGAATACTTACTCGACAATTTGATTGGCAAGTTGCGCATCACTCTGGCTGAGATCTTGCGAGGAGGATTGGGAATGGCTCTTGGTAGAAGATTCCGACTTGGTCTTTCCAATCAGCAGTGTTCTCAATCGAGGAGATAGTCGGCCCTTGCGTTTCAACTTTCTGTTCCCATCACTCTTGGCTTTTGCTTCTTCATCAGACCCGTCGCTGCCCATGAACATGCTCAAGACAGATCTCAATGAAAATTTTGACGACGATTTACTCGTGAGATCGTTGTTGTTTGTCTGTTCTTGCCCAGGGTTCTCGTTCTGTAGAACATTCTCCTCCTGTCGAGCAGTCTCCTCCTGTCGAGCATTCTCTTCCGGTCGAACATCCTTTTCCTATTTAGTAATGTATGTCCGTAGATCAATGCGCTCTCGCTCAGCCTTCTCTCTCTGTAGAGTAATATCTTTCTGTAGAGCAACAAAGTATTCTCTTTGAGATGTAAGAAGCTCGTAACGTGCCATTGAGGCTACACAGCCATCTGATGTGTTGTCGCTTTCTTCTTGAGAAGGATATTCGTCTTCAGTGTTGTTTGAGTTTCCACTGCTGAGATGCGTGGCTAGGTTGGATGTACAGTTTCGCCCGCCGATCGCGATGCTTTCATCGTTGGTAGCGGCATCACGGGCGTTCCCTTCAGAGACGCCCTGAAGGTTAGCTTGCTGGATTATAGTTGTGCATGTTGTCAAAACAGACACGTCGTCGCCGTCCGTCTGACGACTAGTAGAGCACTGATGGTTCTCGCCAACAGGCTTTCGTGATGAAGTGTTGGCAGATACGAGGTCGACTTGTGTCTCCCTACTTTCACCGACTTCGGTGATAGGATCAAGCTGATGTGGGACGTGAATGTCACCCGGAGCGGACTTTGCTCGCTTATGAAGCTTGTTTCCTGACTTTGTATCGAATATTTTTGCCCAGGATAGTTTCTTGTTCTTTCGTTCTGGGCCGGTGTCGTTCGCGTTGCGTAGTTCTAGAAGGGCAAAGGTTAGTTGAGCAAATAGGTAAACAAAGTACTCAGTTCCATACCATCGACGCCCTCCTCGGACTTTTTCTTTTCATTCGCAGAGAATACATCTTGAAATGCCAGTTAGTACATGATCTAGTATATTCCTGATATGCTTTGACGGGTGGGTATGAAGCTCACTTTTCAGCTCAGCTTTACTCTTCTTGACAAAGTCACGGAATTTGACTTCTTGCGGCGAAGAGGGTCCTACCATAATATCAGTATGATGCTCTCGACGTGACAGAAGACAACATATTGGTATCGACTTACTGGTAGAAGTACGGGCGTAGATGCCATCGTCATATCGGTGCCTAGCTAGGAAGCTCGCGATCCATTTGCTGCTCCCAAGAGCAGCAGGGTAGGATGCAGAGCCCTGCATCGTGAAAGATGTTTGGGAGAAATGCAGTGGGTGAATATGATGACAACAAGGTAGGTTGAAGAGACTTGGTTACTGTAGTGAGATGAAGTGTTGATGTTAGGATGTTGAGATGATGTTATGGTATTGAGTGAGGGTGAAGAAGTTGAGTGTGATGAAGAGAAGAGCAGAAAACAGACGGAGGGAACAGAAGATATATATGATGGAGCGGGAAGCCCTTGTTTAGAAACAATGAGCATGAATCATTCTAGCTGCCACTGCTGTTGTCCCTGGCAGCCGGCAGCAACTGGTAAGCCAAGTGGGAATAGGGTCATGGGCGGTTCGCACTGGCGGCTGGCAGCTTCAGTGCCACTGCCAGTGGCAACAGGGCCGATCTTCCTACAGAATCTCCTGTATTCACACAAGCACTGGAAATTTTCAGTTGATCATGCGATAATGCTCATCTACAATGCAGTGTTGCTTGGGACACTGCAGCTGGCAGTAACTTTGTTTGATCAAATTCCTGAGACTACAGAGTCTATCCAGAGATCAAAGTATGGCTACTCTTTATCAGAGTGTCTGAATCCTATTTCTCAGTTATTACTAGAAATCTATAATACAACGAGGGCTGGCTCGTTACCGTTGACTCCGTTTTCCCGATCTCGCCTCCATACTAAACACCAACTGGGTGTGATATGCCTCTAGCTTACTTACAATGAACCACATCCGAACATTATCTGTTACACTAATGCCACGCAAAAACTCGGCCGTCATTTACTTCTTCCCCTTAGCCTTGGCACTGGTAGCCTTGGCCTTGGGTCGCCCTCGCTTAGGTTTGTCCTCGTCTTCTTCTTCGTCGTCGGCAGCAGCCTTGGTCGCCTTCTTGGTGACCTTCTTGGCTTTCGGTTTTTTGATATACTTGTCCTTCTTAAAATCGATTTCGTCATCTTCTTCGTCGACTTCGGGTGCCTCGACTGCCTCGGCATCATCATCTTCGACAGCTTCCTCAAGATCAGGAACCTCCTTGGGTTGAGCCTTGGGAGCGACGACATTGCTGGCCTTCATGAAGGGAACTGGGTGGCTCATTGCATTGTATCTAGAGAGCTCGTTAGTTGCATGTCGGAGCATGGGTAAATGGTCAACCTACGTTCGGGTGAAAGCAGCTTTGGTCTTGGTCTCAATCTTGACGTGTTCCTCGTCCATCGGTCCGACACCGAGTTCCTGAACAGCATCGAAATCTTCACGAGTCAAGTAGTAACTGTCCATCAGATCAATGACCTCTGGCACTGCCTCGTTGCCCTGCTTTTGTAGACGATCTACAAGCTGCGTCCAAAGGATAGGAAGGTACTGCTGGCGAATCTCGTTATGATCGCCAGAAGACCTGAGGCGCATGTGAGAGTGAACCTCTCGAATCGATCTGCCCAACCTTCCGTACTTGCTATTGTTGCCCAACCACGACGTGAAGTTGGAGCCCATGAGCTGGCCTGCTATAAAGCTGGCGGGGCGGACCGTACTAAACACAGCATGTGTGGGCATCAAGCTCCAATGTTGCTGAGGTCCGTGAATCATGCGATCGACAAGGTCTCCGTCGCTGATGCTCTCTGCTGCATTATCGAACAGTTCGAGAGCTTTGAGCTTGAGCTCGCGTTGGTTATACCCCTTTCCATTCAAGGCCATAGGTTTTGTTCGGAGATAGTTCTCTTGTATCATAAGATAGCTGAACTCGTGGTCGTTGAAATAGAGCTCAATCTTGTCATTGAGTGTTGATTTGCTTGCGGGGGTGAACAATCCACCTGCCAGCATCTTTTGACAGATGTCCCATGGTTTAAGGATGACGTGCTTTTCCCAAGCCTTAGACATGGCCTTGCTCTGGTCGAAGTCCATACTTGTCTGGTCTAGTTTCGCCGTGGAAATCATATTGATGATCTGTCGAATATCTTTGTTGCTTCCCTCGATGAGAGCATCTACCACAGAAGGAGGAAGCTTGAGCCCTTCTCTATGGCAAATAGTCATGACGCGAGATCGAACTTGGTCCACCGTTGGGCGATTGAATCGGATGTCGAAAGCTACATGGTCGAAAGGCTTCATCTTGGGCAGTCTTCGCTCGTTACAGATGAGTATCAGGGGAACCTGTGTCTTTTTGCAGAACTTTGCCAATGCACCGACACCGCCTCGATCGCCCGCAGACATACCGTCAACCTCATCCATGATGAGAACAATCTTCTTCTTGGTTGCATCCACATCTTTGCCATCGCCAGCAAAGTACCCGAGAAGCGACGTATTGTTCATCACATCGCTCACTCCGTTTTCGACGAGCTTCTTGCTTCGAGTATCACTTGCGTTGCTCTCCAAAACGTCATATCCCTCCAGCTTCGCAGCTAGGTGAGCAGCCGTTGTCTTGCCGATTCCAGGGGGTCCAGAGATGATGATGGCGCGCTCGCCACCCATCCCGTCAGCACCTCTTCTTTGAAAGTTGTATTTCTTGTGTTTTGGCCAGTTTCTGAGCCAGTTTTGGATCTTTTCGACTTGGGCCTTATTGCCACAAATATGACCGAGCTGTGTGGGCGCATACTTTGAAGTCAGTAACTGAACGGGGGGTGCCGCAGCAGCCTTCACAGGAGGGCCTCCAGCAGCGGCCGCTTTTTTGGCGGCCTTCGCAACCTCTGCCTTTCGAGCCTTCTCTTCGGCCTCCATCTCTGCAACTTGTTTCTTGACTTTGTCTTCTTCGGCCTTTTTCTTCTCCTGGGCCTTCTGGGCCCCTTTGCCGCCACCTCCAAATGCAGGAAGTTTGCGGATCAGTTCGAAAAGTCCGTTCTCGTCAATTGTCTTGATTCCGATAGACTTAATCTTTGCCAGCTTACTTGGCCCAGCGTCTTCTCCCAAAACCACAAAGCTTGTCTTGCTGCTTGGCTGACCGACAACTTTACCACCATACCTCTTGACAAGAGCTTGCCCCTCATCACGACTGATGGTCTGCAAAACACCCGTGAAGACAAAACTAAGACCAGTCAAGCATTCATCCGCACCTTCAGGAAGGTCAGCTGCACCTGCAGCTGGCTGAGCAGATGCATTACCGCCTCCGAATGCGTTCTTTCGCCAATCAAACTTGGCATTGGCATCTTTGGGCGGTGGTGTAGGGGCACGAACGGTAGCAACACTGTCGAGAATATCCTTGATCTCATCATCTTCAGGCTCGTCATTCTTCTTTCTTGGAGCCCGAGGTTTGGCTGCAGCTTTAGGTTTGGCTGTAGCCGCTTTCTTGCGTGGAGCCTCTTCTTCAGACTCTTCTGAGTCTTCGGATAAAGATTTTCGCTTTCTGCCTTTTGCTGCAGGCTTGACTTCTTCTTCCTTCTCTTCCTTCTTGACGGCGGATGGGCGGCCTCGGGTCGCTATTCGCTTTGGCTTAGGAAGTTCCTCATCCTCGGATTCGTCCTCCTCGTAGTCGTCATTCTTGCGCTTACTTCCACCCTTGGCATCGGCTGCAAAGATATCTTCGTCGTCTTCGTCTCCGTCATCCATGTAAGCATCAGAATCCTGATCGGCATTGTGGCGTGAGTAAGAGGTTGTTGATTTTCGTGTGGCAGGGGCTTTGCCATTCTTCGCTGGTGCTGCGGGCTTCGAAGCAGTAGGTTTTCCTCGGGGACTTGATCGAACGGGAATATCAGGCTTTGCAGCAGGCTTTTTGGGTGTTGCTGAACTTGTAGGCTTGCTGTTCTTTGCGGAAGCGAAGTAATCATCAGCAGAAATAGCCACGCCCTTAGTTTCCTCCTCCCTGTAAAAAGTCAATCAGAGGGCAATTTACAAGACAGAAGTCAAAGACAAACTTGGATTTTCTCTTTGGTGCGGGTTTAGTGGTAGGCTTTTGCACTCTGCTTGGGATCAGCTTGGTTGTAATAACAAGTGGAAGGAAAACAACTTACTCTACTGCTTCATCTTCGTCATCGTCGCTATCTTCAACGACCTTTCTTCCCTCTGAACTTATATTAGTACCGTTGTAAGTCCAAGAGTAGTATCGTTTGGCTTACTTGTGCGCTTGCTCTTGGCCAGCTCCTCAGGTCTTCTTGGGGCAGGTTTTGGGGCGCCACCACCCTTGGGTCCAAAGAAAGACCGGATATCAGAAGGCATTTTTGGCGATCTCGCTTTTTTCTCTTCTTGTTTTACTTGTGATTGAAGAAGTGCATCGACCTTTTTAATGGCATGCGCCAATGTTGCCTGGGTGAGGATTGGTAACGTGAATCCCAGGCAATCAAGGAGCAGCCTAGAAGTCGGAGTTTAGTGACGTGCACGGTAGCTCCTATCAAACGCGAAGCTGACGCGAGGTCCGTGACTGCGAGCTAAAGTGGTTCTAGGTTGTGAGCCTTGAAATTTAGGCCTCAATATCAGCCCACCTTCGGCATCGGGAAGATTTTCTGGAGCTCCGTTGTTCGAGGCAGCTTCAAGTCAACTCCGGTCGCCGCCATGAAGATCGCTAACACATCGGCATTGCTCAATGCCTTCCAGGGATTGAGGTTATGTGCCTCTTCGCCTCTGCGACAACTTCACGCCCCTCTTCGGCAATCTTCGAAGACCCTTGATGCGATTCGACGACCTCAAAATGTCCGAGCCTTTTCGACGACCCCCTCAATGTTGGGCAACTGGCTTGAGCCAAACCTGAACCGAAAGAAGAAGATGGCAAAGGGACGACCTCGTGTGGCTACAGGTGGTTCGACCAAGGGTACGACAGTGATTTGGGGCGACTATGGTCTGCGAATGACGGATCACCACCGAAGAATCAGCGCCAAGCAATTGAAGATGGCCGAGGACACCATTAAAGTGCGACTTCGAGGTCAAAAATACCGATTGTACAAGCGAAAGAACTGTAACGTCGGTGTATATGTCAGCGGTAACGATGTAAGGATGGCCTTCCCGGACTTGGGTGGAACATCGGCTTATGGCTTTACAGATGCGTATGGGTAAGGGTAAAGGTTCCTTCGATCACTGGGCAACCCGAATGGCTGTTAGCCAGATTCTGTTCGAAATCCGAG